ATGGCACAAGAAAAGAAAGATAAAAAAAAGAAACATACAAGGCGGAAGAACGCGGCAACGCAATGCTCGCCCTCCACGGGTAGCCCGCCGAGTCACTAGCCCAATCTGCCAACCGACCAGCATGCAAAAGGTCGGAGTCCAAGGCTTGCCGGTCGGCGACGCCGACATCGCGATCCGTCGAGGCGCGCGACGGATCGTGATATCGGCTTTGCCGAACTGCACGCCAGGACCTTTCCGGGTTGGTTGCCTGGTTGGTTCTGTTGAGTTGGTTGGTTGGCGGATTGGGTCGTCGCGAACTTGGCGAATTGCGCGCCTCGGCGCATGCGGGTTGTTTGGCTGGTTGGCTGGTTGGTTGGTTGGCGGATCTCTCTCGCCCGCGGCCCTCGCCGCGCCGATCTCAGAAACAGCCCGATTGCCAGCCAACCAACCAGCCGCGAGAGGGGATGGAACAGCGGGCGGCGGAGGGACGTAGAAATGATTCGAAACGGGGTCAGGGGGGAAAGGGGGGTTGGATGGCAGGCGGCGGAGGGCAGGAGGCTGAAGGGCGGAGGGAGTTCGGAGCGTGGAACACACGTTGGCATAGGGGGTGAGGAGGAGGAAAAAGGGGAAAAGGAAGAAGAGGATTCTGAGACTCTGAGATTCTGAATCCTCGCCTCAGTCTCAATCCTCAGCGAGCGTCTGCTGCGTCGCGCTGGGTCGCCGGCTGCAGCGCAAGACCTAGAGCAAATTTCGGCAGCCGCGCTGCATATTTCAAGACGATGCGTCCATTCCATGTCATTCCAGCGTTGCAAAGCGCAGCTGGCATGTTGATCCTCTCACATCCGCAATTATACCCGGCGGTCGTATCCCATTTTTGCATGGTGTATCTCCAGCCCTAACGAGAATGTCTGGCCTCCAAGTTCGATGGCGTACTGATTCGTCTGTTGAATGACTCGTAACATTTTCATCATCGCCACTCCAACGTCAAAGTGCACGTGGTCAGGTCTGCGGAGCACGAGCTTCCGAAAACGCGCAGGGACCAAAAGCGCCACGTTGAAACCAACATCTGGTCTAACTCCTGCGTAGGTATCTCCAGACATCAACGGCGCATACTGTCTGCTGAAACACGGGGCAATGATTAGCTGACGCAACTCCCGACTGTCAACCTCAGGTGCATATTTACTGTTCTTGTAGGTCGGGCTCCAGAACTCGACGCGATATTCAAAACTGTACGTCGTTACCACAAGTGCGTTCGGAGCTCCCCACGACATCGATTCGAAGGCGTTCGATTTGAAGTGACCGGAAGACTTCCAATACCGACACGAAGGATCCTGGGTAGCTGCTGTAGTTCCCCAGTAGGGGCTTCCCCACATGACCAATCCATATGTAATTTTTTCTGAACCACTCGTGAGCTTGTTGAAAGCCCTCAACTCAGATGTTTTATTATCGAATCCAGATATCCCAAAGAATGGTCCTGCTGCGCCGCCGTCGGTTAGTATCTTTGTGTTCCGGCGGGTCTCGTCGTATAGCCTGAATTTGCTAGTGTCCGATTCGTCGTCCGCTGGGACTGGGGTTTGCTCGGCATCTGTGAGAATGAGACATGCGTAAGGATACTTTGCCCACGAGTCCTTATTCACAAGAGACTTGCGAAGATCGAGCGGTTCTGGATTTGGCCCATGCACGTTCGTATCTTCTTCGGCCATTGCCACGTCAGCCACGTCAGGTGGTGGTGAAACTGCGCTGCTCAGATCGATTACTGCGAATGGCAAACAAAATACAAAAATGCATAAGCCAGAAACTGGCTACGGAAGCCGGGCGTGTTGGGGTAGTTTCTTTTCTGGGGGCTACGGATGCAAGGCCCTTGGACGTGTTACTTGGAAATCGTTGCACATCAAATGGGGTAAGGATGGGCCGAAAATGCAAAGATGCAGGGGTCGCCTTGTAGAAGCATCGGGTCCGACATTGGTCCCTCCTCTGGGTGTAGACTGTAATGGGATGTCGTGGGGTACGGGGGTGTTGTTGTGTAGCTAGCTGGTTTGCTGCTGTTTTGGAGATCGTTTTTTGTTTTGACTAACGCGGCCAATGTCGACGAGGATAACGCGGAGGGGAAGTGGGACGACGATGATGACGCCGAGGGTGAAGGATGAGAAGACGGGGGGCAACGACACGCTCTCCAGGGTCTCCGGGAACCAGGAAGAGTTACCGATGGCGCCCAGGATCCCGCCTCCCCCGCGGGCTCCACGCACACTCGCACACACGCACACACCATGCAGCATCCACACACACCACCACCCACATGCACAGCATCCACACACACACACACACACACACACGCACACCACCAACACACACGCACACACACAGACACCCCCCTATACCCCACCTTCCCCATCCATTCCCCTCCCCTGCCCTCCCCCCCTCCCCCCCAACCCCTCCTCTACACCTCTCCCCCCAGCCCCGTTCCCCCTCCCCCCGCCCCCCTTCCCCCCCCCCTCCGCCCCCCACCATCCCCCCACCTCACCCTCTTTTATCTCCCCCTCCCCTTCCCCCGTCCCCCCTCTGCCTTCCCCTCTGCCTTCCCCCGCCCCATCCCCCCATGTTAACTTTACTTTTCTGCAAATTACAGACACCCTCAGTTTGCTCATCTTGCGGGGGGATCGAGTTCGCATGGCACCGCGTCCCCATTCTGGCACACCCCTCACACGTTTCGTGGCCCAACAGGGAGCTCCGCCGAAGGCCCCAGGTAGAAAGTTCGCATGACACCGCCGCCCCATTCCGGCACACCCCCCTCACACGTCTTGTGGCCCCACAGGGAGCTCCACCTAAGGCCCCAGGTGGAAAGTTCGTATGCTACCGCCGCCAAACTTCGGCACACCCCTCACACGTTTCGAGGCCCCACAGGGAGCTCCACCGAAGGCTCCAGTGGGAAAGTTCGCATGGCACCGCTTTCCCGTTCTGGCACACCCTTCACACGTTTCGTGGCCCCAGAGGAAGCTCCGCCGAAGGCCCCAGTGGAAGAATTTGCATGGCACCGCCGCCATTCCGGCACACCCCTCATACGTTTCGTGGCCTCCCAGGCAGCTCAACCGAAGGCTCCAGTGAGAAAGTTCGCATGGCACCGCCGCCCCATTCGGCACACCCCTCCAGCGTTTCGTGGCCCCACAGGGACCTCCACCTAAGACCCCAGGCTGAAAAGTCGAATGGCACCGCCGACCCATTCTGGCACACCCCTCAGACGCTTCATGGCCCCACAGGGAGCTCCGCCGATGGCCCCTGTGGGCAAGCTTGCATGGCACCGCCGCCACATCTCGGCACAACCGTGACACGGTTCGTGGTCCTATGGCACCGCCGCCCCATTTCGGCACACCCCTCACACGTTTCGTGGCCCCGTACGGAGCTCCAACTAAGTCTCCAATGGGAAATATCACATGGCACCGTCACGCAATTTCGTGGCCCCATCGGGAGCTCCACGGATGGCCCCAATGGCGACGTTCGCAGGCGTCCTGTTGACACATGTCGGCACACCCTTCACACGTTTCGTGGCAGAAGGCTGTGCCGCGTGCGCTGCTCGGAGTTTGCGCGCCCCCCTCCTTCGTCTCATCTCCCTCGCGGCACTCGCAGCTGCATGTGGTCGGGCCCTTCGCCGGGCCAATTCGACACTCCTCCTGTACAGGGACATGCCCGACTTGAGCCTGGGTGGCGCCTCCACGGCCGCCTCGCAGGCGACGGCGCGGCCGTCGAGCCTGTGCCCTCTCCGAGACAGCGTCGAATGCCCTCGGCGGACGGCCCAGGCCCTCCCCCGTTTCCCGCGCGCCCGACGCGAGGGGGCATCCCTTCTCGTGGCCCGGGGGCGGCCCCTCCGCCGCGCCCTCCGCACACTTGGAGCGCTGGTCCCCGGGGTGCCGATGATGCTGATGATGGTGATGATGGTGATGATGATGGTGATGGTGGTGATGATGAGTATGATGATGCTGCTGATGATGATGCTGATGATAATGATGATGCTGATGATGATGCTGATGATGATGCTGATGATGATGCGGATGATGATGCTGATGATGCTGGTGCCTCGGCGAGGCCCTCGGCCTTGCCCTTCGGAGCTTCGGGTGTAGCCACCATCGATGCCGCCTACAGACGCACCACCACTGGGCCTCGAGACGCCTTCGACCGCCCCACGTCTTTGACGGGGCGCCTGCCCCGACGGGCGCCTGCCCGGACGCACATCGCGGGTGGTGCCGCGGCTCTTCCTCGCCTCGCGCGCTCACCGCCCTCGGAAGGCCCATCCTGGCCGCTCGACGTCTGGCGGGCCCCCGCCCTGCCCGCCGTCTCGTCCGCTGCCAACCCCGCTCCGGCTGCACGCGTACTGCACGGCCACTGCAGCGTGCAACTGGCAAACGGGCCGGTCCCGCTTATCCTGCTGCTGGTCCTCTCCTTCACGTCCCCCAGTCGATGCCTGCGTAGACTTCCTTCACACTGGAGATCCACCTCCACAGACAACGGTGACTCCTCCTCAGTCTCAGAGGTTGTCCTTGTCCGCATTCCTCCTCCGCGCAACCCTACTCATCCTCGCCATCCATGCCCTTTCTCCCCTTCCTTTCCTTCTTCTAACCCAGCTGTTCTGAGAGGAACATGGCGAGGAGGACGAGGTGGAAAGTGAGGCGGAGCGAAGATGGCGGAGGACGGGAACATATGATGGAAAGGGGTGGTAAGATCAAAGAAACAAGGAAGGCAAGGAAGGCGACGAGGAGGGAGGAGGGGGACTCGACGCTCGCCCTGGGGAGGAGAGGGAGGAGCGGGGGAGGGGGGGTGAGGAGGACGTGCTCCTCCTGGCCCCCCTCTAATCCTTCCCTCCTCCCGCCTCCACCACCTGTCCGTCCATATCCTTCACCTCCTCCTCATCACGCTCACCCTCGTCCTCCTCCTCCTCCTCAGCCTCATCGTCGTTGCCCTCCCCCCCTCGACGTTGCCGTCCTCTTCCTCCGCCCCCTCCTCCGCTTCCACGAACACGAAAGGGCTGTCGCCTCCGCGGCGCTCGAGCCAGCGTGCCTCGGCAGGGCGCCCTGCGAACTGCTCCTCCGAAGGGGGGTGGGGCGCTGTCGTTGTCCGGCAACGTTGTTGCCGTGATCGGTCATTCGCTCGGCAAGTGTGCGAGGACGAGATGAGAGGGAGAAGAGGCGGATGTGAATGATACCACGGACGGGAACTGTTGCGTAGCGTGTCGCGGCGGCGGCCCTGGCGACACGCTATGCCTTGCGAGCAGACAACGTGTCGCTCTGTTCCGCGGGGGGGTAGGCCCGGAAAAGCTTGAAACGTTGACGCCCTGGGACGCGGAAGTGGTGAACTCTTCGCGGCGCGGTGGGCCAGAACAGGCGGCGCGACACGCTCCAAAGTTTCCGACCAGACGTCGCGGGAGAAGCAGAGACGAAGAGAACAGTCATCGACTTGTGGAATCGAGGGGGAGGGCAACAGCAGGGAGGAGGACGATGCTGTGGAGGCGCGAACACGAGCGCGAGGGAGGAGAGCGAAAGAGCAACAACGGGGAACAACTCTCTTCCAATTCGACCCTGCGGTTGATGGCTGCTACCCTTGGGGAGCCCGCCCCGCCGCGAGCGCCGCCATCCCAAAGGGGCCGCGGGCCAACGCAGCAAGGAGGCGGCGGGGGGCACCCCGAAGGGGCGGCCCAAAGGACTGCCTCCTGTGGTCCGCCCTGGTGCAACGCACGACTGGACGGCAAGACAAACGTCCTCCTCCTCCTTTTCCTCCTTTTCCTCCTCCTCCTCCTCCTCCTTCTCCTCTCCTCCTCCTCCCTCCTCCTCCATCCTTTACCTCCATCCGCCTCCCGCACTTCCTTCCTCCACCTTCCCTCCATCCTCCGCCCGGCCTCCCCTCCTCCTCCTCCTTCCTCCCTCCTCCCCTCCGCCCTCCTCTCCCAATCTACCTCCTTCTCCTCTTCCGCTCCTCCCCCTCCTCCTCGCTCCGTCCTCCTCCTCCTCCTCCTCCTCCTCCTCCTCCTCCTCCTCCTCCTCCTCCTCCTCCTCCTCCTCCTCCTCCTCCGTCCTCCGTCCTCCCTATCCTCCTCCTACTATTTTTTCTCCTCCTCCGCGTCCTCCCTGGCGCACCTGGCGCAACTTAGGGCCTCGAGAGAGGCAGGCGGCATCCTCTCCCAGGCCCGCAACCTGCGAGGACCAACGTCACAAGGCCGACCTGCTGCGCACACTCCAGCGTGGCTGCGTGAGGGCAGTCCGCCAGCAAGCGGTGAAGGCGAGAGGTAGGCCCGAGGCACGCGCGCAGCCGGGACTCGCCAGACGCCCGCGGGAAGATCTGACTTGGCGCGGGGCGTGCACCAAACCCTGTGCAGCCAGCGCGTAGAAGACAGGGGGAGAGGTCATGGCACAAAGAGCGTGTTTGAAGCAGCTCGCCAAATCAAAACAGCCTGCGCCGTGGCGCGAAACCGGCGGTTGATTGTGACTAATTCAGCTCCCCCAGGTTTTGTGTGCTGATTGCTGTATATGCTCTTCCGGGTTCGTTCGGCACGCCGGAGTTCCAGGCGTTTTCGGGTATCTTTGGGGAGCGCCACCGCACGACAGGGGTACAGGTCCAACAGTCCTGAATGTTCCAAGAGGGCCCCGTGGGACCGTCCTGCGGCTCGGTTGTAGGGCATCTTGGGTCGTCTCAGATGCCCTGGGCGCCAGCCCAAGAGGCCCTGCTTGATTTTCACCTTCCCCCCTTAACGACCGCAGGAGCGTCCAAGACTGCCAAAGATGCCTTCAAGATCAAGATCGGGCCAGAGGGGCCACCAAGGAGGCCCAAAGCGGGGCCCAATCGTGGGAAACCGGCGGGGCTGCCGAAGCCCTCCACCACAAGATGGTACCCAAATGCCTCCTCTGGGCCCCCAAGAAGCGCACAAAAAGGCCCCCGGAGGCTCCCAACATATCTCCAAGAAGCTGGCAAGATGCCCCGAGGATGATGTGCTTAATACGCCCGAAGAGGCCCTGCATGGGACCTAAACGGGCCTCTGACACGCCTCTACTTGGAAGCGGAAAATGCACACTGTTACATTGAAGGAGCTGTTCGCTAAAAGAAACAAGCGTTTTAGTAAAGTGCTGTTGCTCTGCTGCGCGACAACCGCGGCGGCGCGTCCGAAATGCCAAGCCACGTCCTGCGCTCGCAACGTAAATATACTGTCAAGGAGCATCTACAGCTCGCTGGAAACATGTCGCAAGATCGCCGCGACCCGCTGCAACGCGACCCTGATTACTCGAGCAAATGCATCGCGGGGTGAAATGGCAGAGAAGACAGGGCCCCCCGCCCCCCGACGGGGCCCTGGCCCCGCGTCCCCAGGGCTTTCCTCGAGCACGCCGCGGACTTCACTGAAGGGAGAAAGCGGCTTAGAGAGGAAACGGCTTTACCCCAGAGAAGGAACTGTTTGACTCAAATGAAGAAGCCGTTTGAGTAAAGGCGAGCCGCTCAATGCACTCCGAGAGAACGACGTTGCACCAAAGCAGCAAGAAAGATATAGTAAAACGGAAAGACGGCTGGGGTGAAACTGCGCACAAAGATTTCGCTCCTCCCATAAAACCTGGCGCGGGACTCCAGGAACGAGGGCGGGGCGCACGTTCGCCCGTGGGCCCGGGCCCTGTCGCCGCCGTCGCCGCGACGTTCGTCGTCGCAGCCGTCGCCATTGCCGACGTCGTCGTCAGTCGGCGCAGACAAAGCCGTCGTCGTCGCCGTCGCCGTTGTCGTCACCGCGACGCCCGCGCATTCACGTTATTACCAGCGGCGGCGTGAGAGTCCATGACCCTGCAGCATTCATTACATTGGGTGTGACGCGGGTATGACACAGTCGTACGCGATGTCTAGAAGGCAACCGTCGTTGACACAACACGTCCTATAATCGTGCGAAGACGGACCAGCCGGAAGAGATCCTGTGCGTGGGCGCTGGTTCATGGTACGTGTCCAGGCTGCATTTTTCCCCAAGTACTTCTGGGATCCCCCCTGCTGGAGGAAACGCACTTCGTTCCCCATGCAGCGCACGCTTGCCAATCTTTCCCATGTGCACTTTGAGGCCGTACCAGCTCACATCCGTCTTCAGGTTCACGATATTTCTGGCCACGTCGCTCTTTTTCGTGCACAGCCGGAGGACGTCGTCCGCGAAGCTCAAATGTGAGAGACATGTTGGGGATCTCGAAGACGATGCCGCAATATAGTCCAACACGCCGATTGTTTAGGTCCTCCATCTCTGATTGATGTTCGTACAAATCCGCCGACCCTGTTGGCGTGCGGAAGATGCTTTTCCGTTCGTCGTGAACGTCGTCGTCGTCGCCGCCGCCGCCGTCGTCGTCGTCGTCGTCGTCGTCGCCGTCGTCGTCGTCGTCGTCGTCGTCGTCGATGCTCTTCCGTTCGTCGTCGTCGTCGTCGTCGTCGTCGTCGTCGTCGTCGCCCTCCCCTCAGGCGCGCCAGCCAAAGCGAAACCGAAGCGAAATCGAGCAACGTCGTAGCTGAGTCGAAGGCAAAGCGAAATTGAGCAACGTCGTAGCTGAGTCGAAGGGAAGCCCCTTCCCTCTGATCCCTTCCCCGCCGGGGGGGTGTCCCGGGTGGGGTCCCGGGGGGGGAGGGGGGCAGATACGCATCCCCCCCTGGATGTCCCCGGACATCGAAAAACCTCCAAACTGGCCAAGAGTGCCCCAAGAGGCTTCCAAGACGGCTCCAGAGGGCCCCGAATCGCCGAACCATCGGTCGAAGACGCCAAAGTAGCCTCCAGACGGCCCAAGAGATTGCCAAGACGCTCCAAGAAGTCTCCAAGAGCACTCCAAAGAGGGCACGAAGAGGGATAAATCAATGATTTCCTTAAGAAGTTTTTGACAGATTGTGGCGTTCTCGCCGTTTCAACTTGCCGACGCTCCAAGACGGCCCCAGATGCCCACAATATTGCCCCAAGAGAACCCAAGAGGCCTCAAGAGAGCCCCAAAATGACCGAAGAGCCTCAAGACCGCTCAAGATGCTTCCAAGATGGCCCCAGAGGCTCCCCAAACGGCTCCAACAGGGTGCCCGGACGGGGGGCCCGACGAACCCTCGGCGACAGAGGCTCCCAGGAAGCCCCAAGATGCCCCCAAGAGGCCACCACGAGACCCCCAAGAGGCCCCCAGGAAGCCCCAAGAGGCCCACAGGAGCTTCCCAACACGTTCCCAAGAGGCTCCAAAGAGGCTGCCAAGTTGCTCCCAAGAGGCCCCCAAACTAGCCTTCAGAGGGCCCCCGAGAGCGCTCCGAAGAGACTCAAAGAGCATCCCTGAGGACTCTGACCCACGTCAACATCGTCGTCGTCGTCGTCGTCGTCGTCGACCAAAGACGCTCCGGAGAAAGCCTCACGATTGCCAACAACGGCCCCAACACGACCCCCCCCCACACGAGACCCAAAGATACCCCCAAGAGGCCCCCCCCGCCACATTAGAGAACGCATGGGTCGCCCTCCAGGGTCGGCGGCACCGGCCGTAAGGCCTTCGCAATAGCATCCATCACGACGACAAGCAGGTATGAGCTCATGGGGTCGCCCTGCTTGATCCCTCCGCGGTGTTGAAGGCAACCCCCGCGGGAGCTCGTTGTCTGGCGGCGTTGGACACCGCGAGCTTGCTCATCACCTCAACCAGGCTGTCTAAGGTTGGGCGCAGCATCCATCCTCCGCCGCCTCCCCCGCCGCCCTCTGGGGCGGTTTTCTTCTGGCCCCTCCCATCCACCTCTGGCCCATCAAGGCAGGGCGGCCATAGGAGGCGCAAGACGTGAACGACGCCGCAAGAAGAAAGACGTCAACGACGCCGCAAAACAAAAAAATGGAATCCGTGTACTACTTTAACGATTTACAAATGATACTGTTGATGGTAATAGTAAATACAAGATTTTACATTCATGACAATACAAAACATCATCATCAGCATCATCAGCATCAGCATCATGATGTTCATCAGCATCAGCCTCATCATCATCACCATCGTCATCATCATGCTCAGCAGCAGTAGCGCCAGCAGCATCATCATCATCATCCTCATCCTTAGCCTCAACCTCATCATGGTCCTCATGATCCTCATGATCCTCATCCTCATCCTCATCATCAGCTCCATCCGCATCCTGATCCTCCTCCTCCTCAGCAGCATCATCCTCCTCGTCTTTCTCCTCCTCCTCTTCTTCTTCTTCATCATCATCATCATCATCATCAGCATCAGCATCAGCATCATCATCATCATCATCATCATCATCATCATCATCATCATCATCATCATCATCAGCATCATCATCCAGAGAAGCGAGCGGCCTCCCCCCCCCCAAAAAAAAACAACTCCAGCCGCGAACGCGCACAGGGCGAGGGAGGCAGGGGGCGCCACGTCCTCGGCGGCACCTTCGCGTCCGCGTACCTGTCCACCGCCGCGGGGTTCCTGCGGGCCCGATGCGCGGGCACGCCCGGAGGAGCCCCCCCCCCCCACGGGGGGCGCCCAGAGAGAGCCCGGAGGGGTCTCCTCCCAAAGCGGCCACCCCTCCCCAGGCTCGCCCCGGTCCTTCCGGCCCCTGCCGCCTGCTCCGCCCCCTCTCTTGCCGTCGCTCGGACGTCCATTTCCCGTTCATTTTTCGGTTTCGTGTGCGTTTTTTTCTTTTGCTCGATGGTTCAGGATGGTCCTCGATGGTTCTCGCCGAGAACAATGCACACATCCGAGCGATGCCAAGCTCTCGCTGCCGCTCCACCCCGCCGCTGCCGCTCCTGCTGCTCTCTCCTCCCGATCCTGCTGCAGCCTGCCGCCGCCGCCGCTCCTCCCGCGCAGCCTCGTCGCCCTCCTCCTCCTCCTCCTCCTCCTCCTCCTCCTCCTCATACTCTCCTTCCTCCGCCGGCTACTTACTCCTCCTACTCCATCACGCCTCCGTCCCCTCCTCCTCCTCCTCCTCCTCCTCCTCCTCCCCTCCGCCTGCTCCTCCTCCTCCTCCTCCTCCTCCTCTCCTCCTCCTCTCCTTCCTCGCTGCTCTCCTCCCTCCTCCGCCTGCTCATATCATATCACTCCTCCCTCCTCACTAGTCGCCCTCTCCTCCTCCTCCTCCTCCTCCTCCTCCTCATCTCCTCCTCCTCTCCTCGACCTGCTCCTCCTCCTCCTCTCCTCCTCCTCCTCCGACCTGCTCTCCTCCTCATCTGAGAGCTCTCTCTCCTCCTCACCCTCCTCCTCCTTCTCCTCCTCCTCCTCCTCCTCCTCCGCCTGCTCCGGCTCCGAGACTCCGCGGCCCGCACGGTGCGGCAGCCCACAGGGACGGCCCCCCCCCCGGCCTGCGAGAGAGCGGGGCGCCAGGACACCCTGGGCCAGGGCGGCGCCGTGGAGCACGGCGCGGCCCTGCTGCCCCGCGTGTGCTCCCCGCGTGTGCTCCCCCCTGCCGGGAGGTGCGAGGAGGAGGAGGAGGAGGAGGAGGAGAGAAGGAGGAGGAAGGAGGAGGAGGAGAGGTGGAGGATGGTGGAGATGGAGGAGGAGGAGGAGGAGGAGGAGGAGGAGGAAGGAAGGAGGAGGAGGAGGAGGAGGAGGAGGGAGGAGGAGGAGGAGGAGGAGGGCGAGGAGGAGTAGGCCCCGCGCGGGAGGGCAGAGCGCGGCGCACAGCCCGCGCCGATCGAGGGCCTGCTGCGGAGTGGCCCGCGCCTGCCCGACGAGGGAGCCGCGCTCGCCGCCGAGCTCGGCAGCGGCCCCCCGGGCGCCGCGGCCGGCTCGGCACGACTTGCCGAGGTCTCCCAGACGTCGGCGACGGCGGCGTGGAGAACGTCGGGCTCCGCATCGCGCCGCATCGCCGCCGCATCGGCCTCCGGCGTGATCCCACGACCTCGTTGGCCCGGACCCCAGCTACCAGGAGGGACAGAAACACACAGACACAACCACGCGTCGATTCCCTAAAACATGTTGGGGGAATGTGGAAGTGGGAGGGAAGACAAGAGCCCAGAGCATGTGGGAAAAGATTGGGAATCCTGACAGTTGTGTCTATTTACTTGCGTGTCCCAGGGCCCCTTCAAGCTAGGAGGCCCAGAAGTTGGGGGGGGGGCTGGAAGCACAGTCATGTCCAGTATACGGCGGCGGGCGTGACTGGCCGCCAGTGCGCGGGCACGGGCCAGGGCAGGGCAGGCCAGGAAGTCGTATTTTTGGTTTGGGATTTTCGCAAGTTTTGACTTAGAGTTTTGCTTTGCAGATCTTGGGGGGGTGAGTTTCCTGCTGACGATTGTCCGAGGATTCTTGCTGGTTTTCTCGATGGACCTCCTGTGTAGTATGATTGCCGAACTTAGGGCAAGGCTCTAATATACGGTCAGGAATGTGTGCTGAGCGTGTCGCAGCGGCGGCACCGTGCCCTGGCCTCGCACAGACGCGCGTGCGGATTGCCTCTGCCACGCTGCGAGGAAAAGTCGCAGCGGCGCCCTGGGCGACACGCCATGCCCTGCGAGGGGATAGCGTCTCGATCCGCTCCGCCTGGCGGGCGGATGCTTCGACATGGGCTCGTGGTTGGCGTGCCGCGCCCCG